CTAAGGGCCTAAGGACTGCGGCAGGTGCTATGAGAACAACATCAACAGAGGTCTGTATTCGTCCGTTAAACCATCAAGTAGTTAGCGCCGCCAGACTCACAGCGTATAGACTAAAGTGTCAGGAAAAGTGGAGACAATTCGGGATAGATCATACCGAGCTCGGGTTTCTTCAGAAATCTCTCTTCACACTGAAATAAGACAGAATACCCAGGATATACCAAGTGAACAAGGCGTTTTCTATAAACCTGTCCATTAGAGCTGAATAGAGTAATAAAAACCTACAGATCTAACCGATTATAGATGCGTGGTTCACCGATGGATCTGGAGCAAACGACCGCTTTGGAGCAGGTCTAGGAAACAATCACAGAGAGTTTTTCTTTCTGGGTAAGTTAGCCACGGTTTTCTAAGCGGAAGTCTTGGCTATTCTGGAATGTGCAAGACTCTTGCTCTCAAAAGAGACGATGAGCAGGAGGATCCATATCTACACAGATAGTAAAGCCGCTATAAGAGCCCTTGCTAGGACCATCACTGAATCGTCAGTGGTTTGAGACTGCATATAAGCCCTGAACAGACTGGGAGACCATAACAAGATCACACTAGTCTGGGTACTCGGCCATAAAGGTATCCGCGGTAATGAGATAACGGACGGATTGGCAAAGCTAGGCACCTTAGAGGAACCAGAAAGTCGCCGTTCTCTTTGCCGTGGAAAAAAATTGCATCAGGGATCGGCTGAAGCGAGAGCATCAGAACTCCTGGAAGAAACTAAAAAGCTGTTGCCAGGCCANACTTCTGATGAGCCACCCATTGTCAAGCAGAGCTAAGGAAATGCTGGTTATGGATAGAAATAGATTAAGATTAAGTATCGGTCTTTTCACTGGACACTAGGCTTTCAGAGCACATTTGTACAACATGAGATTGGCCGACGAAACAACCTGCAGGGTATGCGGTGAGGAGAAGAANGACAACGAGCACATACTGTGTCGCTGTCCATCCTTAGTGCTCAAAAGGTTCAGATTCCTGGGCTGCATGTTTTTCTTTTTCTTTGTTTAAATGGCGCACGCCCCTTTGTGAGAGAATCAAATGCCAGTCTGTAGTCGTTTTTATATTCTCAGAACAAATAAGGGAGAGAGGAATGTGCAGTTGTTTACTACTACCACGCGATACACGGCCGTCTTCTCACAGTGGGCGTGCCCATCTGTGTCGGGCTCGTGTTCGAGGTAGTGTAACTATGATCGTTTTGTGGGAGGGGGAATTAATTCGGGATTACACCCGAATTAATTATTGGAGGTCCGATTAAGATCGCCGATCAACCGATAAACTTAGTTGAAAGGGATCGGCTCGGAAAAAATCCTTAGGTGGTGAGCGGATTCGAACTCGGGACCTCCAGGTTTGCAGCCCCTGCACTCATGCCGCGAGACCACTGGGCCGGTCCCCTGGACTGCATGTTTGTGGAGTTCGAAAACTTAAAAAATATTAAGATCGGCTACCTGCAAAGCTTGGCAGAAAATGCCGGGCTGAAGCAGATTGGCCAATAAGAAATTAGCGGGAATCACAAAAAATCTTATAGATCTAGGTGACATATAAGGAACTTTACTAGCCCACCCGCTTA